CTTATCCAGCGCAGCCCTGACAGTTTCCTGAGGGACGCAGCCGTGCAGAGTCCCTGGTCTGTTCCCCTGGGGGGCAGATGCGACTGGCATCCAGCTTCCTGGATGGCCCTTGGGGTCTGATGATGTTTACACCACAGATCTCTATATCAGTGCAGTGGCCTTTATATCTCCAGGTTCTGCTTTCACAAAGCCAGCCAACCACAGGTAGGAAACACTTAGAAAGATAAAACACATCTCTACCGAGTATCTTTCTTTCTTATCATTGTTCCCTAAATAATACACTATAACAACTATTTATACAGCATTTACATTGTGGTAGATATTATAAGTGACCTAGACATGATTTACATTGTGGTAGATATTATAAGTGACCTAGACATGATTTAAAGTCTGTGGGAGCGTGTGTGTAGGTTATATGCAAATGAACTGTGTGCCGGTTTACATAAGGGGCTTGAGCATTTGATGACGTCGGAGTCCGCAGGAGTCCTGGAGTAAATCTCCCAGAAGTATTGAGAGGCGAGTGTGTTTAGAAGAAGTCTGGGAGGGTGAGCACACACACACACTCGCCAGGACCACAGCAGGCCCCCATGATCACCTCTGGGGAGGAGGACTCAAAGTGTAGGCAGGACACAGTTGGTCCTTCAGGACTTAATTTTAAAACTGGGGGCGCAGAGTTCCACTGGGGCAGGTGACTGCCCTCGCCCACGCTCGCACTAGCCAAGACGGGACCCCCCCAAGGTGCAAGGGGCTGTTAAGACCTCCGGAATGCCAGCCAGAGTGCTTACGTGGGTGACCTTGGGAAAGGCGCCCGCCTCAGTTTCTCCATCTGTGAGACAGGGACCTACTGCCTGCCTCGCAGGGTAGTTCTGAGGCCTGTGTAGGGCAATGCATCTTTCATCTGAACTTGGAGTAGTCAAGGAGATAATACTTGTTCCCTTCCAGGGTCCCACTCTAGCGATCCTCAGGGCAAATCTGCCCACAGAAATGGCTTCTTTTTCCTGCAGAGTGCTGGAAACAGCTCAGGTCTAAGCACCACCAAGCAAGGAAGAAGCTTCTTGCTTCCTCCCTCCCCCTCCTGCGGTTTCCCCTGAGCCCAGTCCTCTTACCTGCTTGCCTCGCCTCGGCTTGCTCCCCCTGCTCCATCCCGGCTCAGGCAGATTTCCTGGGGAGATTTCTCCGGCGGTGGACGGCTGTTCATGGAAGGAAGCTGGACACGCGCTGACAGCCAGTCATTTCATTAGGAGAGCCGGATGCCCACCTCATGACCGTGCCGGTCTGGAAGGCTGCCCCGCCACTCTGCCATCTCTGTAAATGAGTGTTTCTGTCTCGCCAGATGTTTCCATGGTGGTAATTTCGCAGAACTCGTCATTGCAAGCTGCCCATGCTGTCCTTCTCAAATAGCTATTTCCTGATTAATTCACAGCACGACTTACTCCGTGCCTCTGCTAAACAGAGAGCACATCCGGATAAACATGTAAAAGAGTGCTTTGAGAACTGACTTTTCTGACAGCTCGCAAATAGTAGCCCGCCGTCCTGCAATTGGATGATTGAGGCTGAGTGCCTGCGGTGGTACCCGGGCTGGGTGCTTCTCATGCCACATAGCTGCAGAATCCTCTGCAACGCAGCGGTGTAGAGACGGAGTTAGAGCTTATTCAGCTAGCTTGCAGGAAGGCTAAGGGGAAAGGGATCAGGAGAGGTGGGCCTCTCTGGGGCCTCAGATCCCATATAGCAAATCAGAAGCCAAAGCAAGAGGGAAACGACCTCGGGGTGAAACCAACAGGCCACCATCTTTCTGATCACATTGCTTCTTACAGAGCAGGGCTGGCTTGGGAGGAAAATGCCTGTGCTTATCCCAAAGCAGTCACTGAGTGCTTGCCATGTGCCGGGTCCTCGGACAAGGTGGTGGGATCTCTGTTGTCAAGGAGATTAACTCCAAGTGGGACAGACCATAGGTTAGGAAGCTGGTGAATGAGACTGTTTCAGAGATGAAAGGGAAATTAAACAGCGCAGTAGGGTGGAGAGAAGAGTGACGGGATGCTGGCTGCCCCAGAGCCTGTGGCCAGGGAGGACTAGTAAAGCCAAGAAGGAGCAGGGCCGCAGGCATGCAGGTATGCAGGCATGCAGGTATGCAGGCAGAACATTCCAGCCAAAAGCAGGAATAAGCTTCATGTATCAGGAGCAGCAGTCAGGCCAGCAGGTCAGGAGCAAGTGACCAGGAGCTGGGCCAGAGACACAGGCAGGGCCAGATCGCAGAGGCCCGGGGCCCGAGAGGAGCCAGGGTTCTCATCAGTGTGGTGGAAGCCACTGGGCAGTTCTCAGCAGGGGCTGCCATGATCTGACCGAAGCTATTTTAAAAAGACCCTGGCTGCTGCTCGAAAATGAAATGTGTGTGTGCAGGAGAAGGCAGGGTGACAGTGTGGAGCAGAAGCAGAGAGACCAATTAAGAGGCGATGGAGATGTCTCTCGAAAGACGCTGGTGGCCTGGGCCGGGGCCGCAGCCTCTTCTGGAAGAAGGGGTCAGGTTGGGGCACATCTGGAGAATGAGCCGAGGGCCGTGTTGACAGATGGGATGAATGAATTAGGGGCCCCGGTGGGACTCCTAGGGTTCTGGCGGCTGGCTGAGTGGTAGACCTGTGTGAAGGATGAGAGAAGACTAGTTCTGGGGAGAAGTAATGGCGATTCTGCTTGAGGCATTTCAAGGTCAAGATGCCTGGTAGATTCCCTGGGAGAGAGGTCAGGCGGTCACTTGGGGTTGGCGGCGAAGTCCTGGTGGGACAGTCAAACATTTGGGAGTCATCAGCACCAGGGTGGGATTTTGAGCTTAGAGGTTACTCCCCCGTGAGTGAGCACAGTAAGATCAGGGGGCCTGGCCATGGCCCGGAGGCCGCCCCGCCCGCTAAGGCCCAGCGGACAGGGACACCCACCCAGAGGGCCTGGGCGAGGGGCAGCCAGCAAGGCAGGAGCGGAAACAAGCAGGTACAGAGCAGTGGGAGCCCCGGGTGGAGACTGTGAGGCGGGAACTGCGGCCTGGCTGCTGCGGGGCCTGAGGACCAAGACGCTCCCCTTGCCTCTGGCAGACTGCCCAACCCTGTAATTCACCAGCCTAGAAGGAGCCTGCTGCGAGTGAAAAGAGGGCCCTGGTAGTGATTACACCACACAGCAGGTGTAAATCAGACTCGTCCCTGACAAGCAAGGGTGGTCCCTTGCCCTGGTTATTGGTCCCGTGCCAGGGTAGGTTCAGTGCAGAACTCAGGGCAGAAGCCCGAGAGGAGCAAGGGCAAGGGCAAGGGGAGAAGGGGTGCAGTGACGCTTTCTCCAAGTTTCCCTGCAGGGATGAAGTACAAATCGTGCGGTGCCCCTGTAGAATAGCATAGTCCTCAACAATAAAAAGAAACAAAACACTTGATTCACACGACTCAGATAAATCTCAAAGTGATCCTGCTGAGCAAAAGAAGCCGCGCAGAAGAGGAGCACATAATTCCTGATTCCTTTTATATAAAAAGTCTGGAAAATGTGGATGACCTGGATGAGCAAGCGGGGGGCAGTGTGGAGGGACCACCAAGGGTAGGAGGGAAGTTTGGGGGCCGTGGACACACGTGTGCGTTATCTCGAGTGTGGAGGTGCTCCCCTGGCTGAATGGCGTGTGCACGTGTTAGAACTCAGCGTTAGCTACACAGTCGATGTGTCCAGTGTATTGCATGTGGACGGGTGACATTCCTGACAAAGCTGGGAAGGAGGAGTTTGCTGGGAAGAGAGAGAGGCTGGTGGGCAGGTAGCAGGAGAAAGGGGTGTGATCTTGTTTCAGTGAAGTGTGGAATGGCTGCATGACACAGGTCCATGCGTGTTGGGGGCAGAAGGAGACAGAAAGACACGACAGGGGCCCTCTGTGATGATCACTGTGTGACGTGCTGAGTGGTTTGGGATTCGTCCTACCGGCGTGCGTTCTCCACCCCTTGTGCAAAGGCTTTATCTGGAAAACTTGTTAGGCGTTCAGAGATTCCCTTGAAAGCACCACTGAGGCCATGGCCTGGACACCCACCCACAGCCCCTCGGCTGACGGGAGTTGGTCCCTGGTGTGGTGACAGCGGCGCCTCAGCTCTTGCTACACTGCCTGTTGTGGGAACGTGACACGTGCTTGTGCAGGGCAGCAGTGCACGGGTAAAGCCTGCACCCCACCCTCCCAGCCTTTGGCGGGGCGCGGTGAGGTCCGTGCTGCGGTTTCCATCCGTGGAGGGCCCCGGCAGGAAAGAGCCCCAGTTGCCCCCTTCGGCGCAGACACTTCTGCGGGGTTTCTCCTGCCGTATCTCACTCTTCACACTTCCTCGTCTGATCATCTGCCTTGTCTCAGACTGTTTCTGCAACACCCAGATGAGGTTCCCACGGAGCGGAGGGATCTGCAGTTTGCGTGCGCCGGGCTTTTCTCACATGCCTGGCCCAGGAGCCATAATTTTTTTTTTTTTTTAGGTTTCTTGTTTTTTTTTTTTTTTTCAGTACCGGGAATCAAACTCACGACCTCGCGCTTGCCAGGCAGGCGCTGTGCCGCTGAGCTAAATCCCCAGCCCCTATACGTTTTTAAAATGTTGCTCTAGTTAGTGATGCAAAACTGTGATGGATTCACAAAGGCAAGCGCCTAGGCAGATTTGCTCCTGTAGAAATTAACCCAGGCGCAGTGCGAAGCTGAGGTGAAAGGGCAAAGGCGGGGAAGCAGGGAGACCCGTTAGTGGGCCTTTCCCGGCGTCCCACAGGAGGTGATGATGAAGACAGGGGTCGAGGCCTCCTCTCTGTGAAAGGCCTTTGATGGTATAAGGGGCCAGAGCACAGAAGTGCTCCCTGCACAGACGTGTGAGATGGAGGCTGCTTTAACATCCCCAGCGCCGACGTTTTAGAAAGCTCATGTTCCTAGCATTTCGTATCTCTCTGTTCTGGTGTCTTCTCCTTCCAAGTTTGATACATCCGCCTGATGCCACACATCCTCATTTTGTTAAATTTTGTGTTTCCAGGATCTTGACATCGGTGCCAAGAATGTGAAGCTTTATGTCAACAAAACCCTCATCTTTGACGGCGTGTTACCCAGAGGAGGCGGGGCGTGCCCGGCGGATCACACCATCCCAGTTGACCTGAAGAAGGAGAGCAAGGAGAGAACAGAGAACGGCCTGCGGGCCCCTGGGGACGAAAGCAGAGATGTCCCCGCGCTGGCTGGCCTGGATGGGGACGAGGCGCTCAGTCCTAGCTGCTCACAGCCAGCTGAAACTGCAGTGGGTGTGAAGGTTTCTTCCCAAGGAAATGTGCTAGGCAAAAAGATGAATTCTACTAATTGCACGCAAGACAGTTTGTCCAAGTTAGAGGAGGATTTAAGATCACTGACAGACCCAGCCACCGTAGGTGACGCGCCTGGTGCCCTTCCCCCCTCCCCCCTGGGGACACGCCCTCCTCTGGACACGCAGCCCTCTCTGATCCAGCAGCTTGAAGACCTCACCGGCAGGAAAATCTCTGAGCCACCGAGGAAGACCCCATGCTGGTTACAGCCCTCTCCCACAGGGAAGGACAGGAAGCCGGGGGAAAAAAAGCCCAAGCCCCTCTGGCTTGGCCCTGAGAAGCCGCTGGACCGGAAGGGGAGGCTTGATTCTGAAGATGCCATCCTTGGGGGTCCTGGGGAACCTGGGGCCGAGGACAGAAGCCCCTGGCAGGAGCAAGGGCGGAGGACCACCTGGAACGTCATCGCTGGGGAGAGACCCCAGAGGGTAGCCCCCAAAGTCTGTGATGATGACTTAGACTTCTTTAGCCAGCCCCCCCACCGAGAGCGCCCTGCTAGTGGGAGGAGGGCCCTGAGGAAGGAGGCCGTGGGCAGTAGTCACAGTGATGACCAGCAGGCCAGCAGAGGTAAGCTCCGGGCAGCAGTCTGACTGGGAATTGTGCCGATGCACTTTCTGTTGCTGTGACAGAATCCTTTACGGAAGACGGGTTTACTTTAGTTCACATTTCAGAGGTTTCGGTCCACGGTGAAATGGCTCTGCTGCATCTGGGCCTGGGGTGCAGTAGAAACGGCACAGCAGAAGGGTGTGGCGGAGGAACGGTGCTCACTTCATGGCGGCGAGGAAGCAGAGGGACAAGGAACACAAGGAACGAGGCAGAGAGGAAGGGGCCTGGGGGAAGTTACAGCACCCAACGCTGGGTGCCCGTGACCTGCTGCCTTTGTCTAGGTCCCACCTGCCGTTTCTGTCACCTCCCGCTAATGCCATCAGATCATGACCCCATCCAAGGACTGATCCGCGCTCAAGTTAGAGCCCTGGTGACCCAGTCACCTTACAAACCCCAGCTGTCAACACATGAGGCTCCTGGGGGACATTCCCACTCCATACTCTAACGGGTACCGACATCCCTGTGCCTCTCAGTGGCACGAAGCCATTCAGCTCCCGGATTTCAATTTCCTTGTGTGCAAAATGGGGTTATTCTCAGCGAGGGGTCACGCCCCATCTCAGACTGGAGTGGTATCAGTGAGTGGAATGGCAAGGCACTCCGTGCACGTTAAAGTCATGAATGCCTTTGTCCTTGCTACCGAGGTATGTCCCTCGCCTCATTTTTCTGCTAATACACTCTTCCGGTCTTTGTTCCTCTACCCTTGATAGTTAGTTCACTTTACTCCTGACTGGTGTTTCAAAAACAGCCCAAGTGTGACGACACACGCAGTCGACACTTGACTTTTGCTTACCTGTGAGAGGACCCTGGTCATGCCCGTGCAGCTTCGGAGGAATCTGAGGCCGGCACACGGGCGCAGCGCCTGGCACCAACCTTGGCCCATGGATGCGCCCAGCAGATGTTACTGCTGCTCCCCCCACTGCTCTGCCTCCTCCCCCAACTTCTTCCCACTTCCCCTCTCCCTCCTCCTCTCCTCTCCTCTCCTCTCCCCTCCCTCCTTTCCTGCCTGCACTCTGATCCTGCCTCTTGCTGATATATCCATGTGCAAAGCCCATGCTTGTATTTTTTAATGAGCCCAGTCGCATCTACCCTGTCCGTGTCTGGCAGACCCCTGGCCTGTCACTTAGGGGCAGAGCTGCCCCCTGTGCGCCCCCTCTGGCTCCTCATAGATTTCTGCCGAGACTTTGCAGTGAGACTGTGCGTGAGGCGGAAGAGGGCGGAAGAAAAGCTAAAAGTCTCTCTGAGGGCAGGCGCCTGGCTCACGTTGGGTCCTCTCCTCAGCAGGAGGGGCAGTGGCAGAGGTGCTGTGGCGGCTGGATTGGCCTGTTGGCAGTTAGCCAGGACCTGCCAAGCACCTCATCCAAATGCAGGATGCCATGTGCTCGGGTTGGTGCGACCCCCTTGTACAGATAAAGAAAATGTGCAGTTGAAGCCACTTTCCCCGGGGTCACACAGCCAGTGAAGGCTGGAGGATCCAGGCCGACCAGCTCCGGCATCCACGCTCAGGCCACGGTCCTCTGGTGCCCTGCTGCCATGGCTGTCGCCCGCCACTGCCCTTCCCCAAGGGAGCCAGGCCCTTCCGAGCTGCCTTGTAAACAGCCGTGCCAGGGCCTCTGGGAGTTCCTGGGTGACAGGTGTAATTCTGACTTGCCCAAGTTCGCAAGGCTGTCTCACAGTAATTTCCTTCCAGCATTTCACTGCTTGGCTCAATGACACATTAAGCGCCGAGCCCTTGAGATTTAATGCTTGTTAAGCCGATCATGCTAAAAAGGATAGTTGCTTGAAATTTTAAATTACGCGTTACCTAGGGCTGAATCCTACAGCCACAGCCTTGAGGAAACACTCCGGCCCAGCCCTACCCAGCGCTGGTGGGGTGACTGCTGCCCCGGGACTGTGATGTAAGACAGCCCTGGAGGGACCGCTCAGCCAGCAGAGCGTCATATCATGATGACACCCGCATTTCAGAAGGGTCCTCGCCAGAGGTCAGGGGTCTACAGATGAAGTCTTACCAGCCGTGTGAGCAGTAGAGTGAGCGGTGATATTTGGAGAATGCTCACAGCGCTCCTCGCCCTAAAGGCAGCAGCTGTTCATTAAGTGGGACGGGAACAAGGAAGCAAGGGGATTTATACAGCTCGCTTCTATCCCTCCTGCACTTCCGGGCCGCCTCTACCGCCCTGTGGCCGGTGTGCCTGCCTTTCCTCGTGAGATTAGCTTTCTCTGCTCTATTTATAGGGCAGCCTGTGGCCTTAGCCCTCTGATGACCTTGTCCCAGCTGTGGCCACAGTAGCCGGTACCAGAGTCTCAGGGAAGTAACTGATTGGTCTGCTTGGGCCCAGTATCCACTCCTTGCCCCGCCAGCAGTGGGTGGCGCAGTCGGTTTTTATAAACTCAAGTTCAGCGCTTCATAGTTCGTAGTGGACTCAGCTCACTAGTAATTGGGAATCTCGGAGCCCATCATGTCGTAATCAGTGGTCCCTCCAGGCCGCGCTGACTGCAGACTGAAGCCACAGCTTTCTGCTGCCCTTCGAGTTTACGATGGGAATGGCAGCAGGGGCAGCGCAGAGCACTGGCCCCGGGCAGCGGGGAGCAGTGTGCTCCCTGGCAGACAGAGACACTGGGCTCCAGCCAGCTGTCACATCGGAGGGGTCCCGGAGAAAGTCGGCATTTCTTTGCTTTCAGGCCCAGAGTGTGAACCTCAGGGAGAAGAGGTCAGCAAGCGGATGTAGAATGGAGGTGGAGTCCCTGCCTGGCTGCACCCCAAGCTGAAAGCCTCAGCCTAGGTCCCCAACACAGAACATGGGGTGCTGGTCTTCCGCGTGCTTGCAAACCAACCCCAGCCACGCGTTTCCGTCAGAGGCAATCCAGTCACGTAAACCTAGGCGGTGGCAGTCCGTATGGGGAGTTCCTTCAGATGTCTCACCTTGTGCCTGGGAGGGGAGGCGGAGAACTTCTGTCCTCTTTTTTAATGGAAGATGACAGACGGGGAGAGGACAGGTGCAAGAGAGCCAGCAGTGCCGGGGGCGTCCCTCAGCCTCCAGACCTGACCCCAGGAGAGAGGGTGGGGCAGAAACACGGCGCCAGCCCTTCTTCCCTTTAGCAGCAAACTGAGCATTTCCCTGTACCAGGTGCTCTGCTGGCCGCTGGGACACAGCAGAGGCAAAGATGTGTGGCAGAGAATGCCTCGCTGAGGAGATAGGTGACTAGAAGAGCCGGCCTAGTGTTCTAGAGGGAGAACATTTCTGGCAGAGGGCACAGCAAGGGCAGAGGCTCCCAGACGAGAAGAGACTGGGTGTGCCCTGGGGACAGAAGGGCCAGCACACCAGAGTGAAATGATCGTGTAGGGGAGAGCCAGTGGGGACCATATACAGGCCCCTGTGGGCATGGAGGGAGGCCCCTGTGTGCTGTTGGTGGCACAGGGAAGTGGAGGTGGCAGAGTGGACATGTCTGGACCTACCAAGTAGACACTGGCATTGGAAGATGTGGGCTAAGGAAGAGAAGCCAGAGCTTGATGTCCGAAGCTGAGGTGCCTGCTTCGGAGTCGGGGTGGATGAGGGCCAAGAAGCGTGGCAGTGTCAGGGAGGACCAGATGGTACCAAGCCTGGAGCACTCCAGGCTTAGGCGGTGGGAGGGTGGCGCTGGTGTGATAGAAGAAGGAGCTGCTGATGAGGAAAGAGAGAGCCAAAGAGGTGGAGAGAGGAAATATTGCGTGGAAGAGGCTTGCCTGGGATGTCAAGCATGAAATGAAGACCGAGAAAAGACTGGGGACTCAGTGTTCACTTGGAGGAAGCCGTTTCAGTAGAGGGTTCTGGGAATGTAGGATTCTTACGAATGCAACGGGCAGAAAGCCACCAGGAGTTTCACCTCAGGCGTGGCTGGACCCAGGAGCTCAAATAACATCTTCAGGTCTTTATCTTTATCTTTCAGCTCATGTCCCCCATGTAACCTTCCTTTTCAGGCAGGGTGTTATACTTTATATCTAGATGTTCCCCAAAGCCTCATGTGATCACAGGCGGGGCTTTTGAAAGGTTACTGAATCATGGTGGTGCTATAGCTAAGTGGAATATTAGAAAATGAGACCTGGTTGGGAGAGGTGGGGCAGCCGGGCATAACCTGGAAGGTAGCTCCCTCCATAGCTCCCTCCTGGCTTTTCCCTTCTCTCTGCTTTCTGGCCACTGTGACACGAGCAGCTTTTCCTCCACTGTGACCCTCTTCCATGCCTTCTTGCCTTGAAGCCATCTGGTCATGGACTGAAAATGTGACCCAAATAATCTTCTTCCCCATTAAGTCATGAGCATCAGGTATTATGTCCCAGGAATGAGAAAATGACCGAGACAGACTTTGGTACTAGTGAAGTGGGGTCATTGCTGGTACTGTACCTGACCATGTGGTTCAGGGGTCTTTGGAACTGGATTACCAAAGGGAGTTCAGGAAGGCTTGGAGATACTGGCTGGAAAGTGTCCCCACAGTGCTGTAAGCTGAGCTTCATGGGAGATTCTAGAAGACCAGAATAAAAATAGAAATGTGGATGGTAAAGATCAGGTTTAGGAGATATCAGCTGGGAACAAGGACTCCACTGGCAGTTGGACTCCAGGCCATATATGTTATTTTCTGGCAGAAAAATTTTCTACATTTTTGCTCATGTCCTAAGATTTTGCAGGAGACTGACATGAAGGGCAGTGGACTAATTAATCTGGTGGAGAGAATACTACAGCTGCCCAATGTTGAGTCTGTAGCACAGGTACTACTGGGGGCTTTTAGCCTGCATTGAGAATCAGGAGCAAACAATACACCTGAGTGATTTTTAGAAGATTTGAGTTTTACCAGAAAGGAATCTTCTGTAAAGTTGGGGCTTATAAAGTTTTGGCTGAGGGCAGCTTGGTTGCTGAAAAGATTAGCCTTGAAAAGAAGTGCCCCCTCCCCCAAAAAAAAGAAGGAAGAGGAGGAGGAGGAGAAGCCACCAAGTACTTTGCATCAAGACAATAGGAAGGATGCCTTGAGGCCCTGTGAGGAATCTGCAAGACCTCACCTTTCCAGGTTCAAGGGTGCAGAATTGTAAAGCTTTCATTTGAGAAGAAATGCCAATCATACATGCCAAGGTCTGCTGCCAGTGCTTAGTGTCATGCAGAATACAAGAGTTGTGGGGTCAAGGAAGCTTCCACCCAGATTTCGGAAGAAGCCCTGGAAGGGCAGGCAGTGTGTCCCTGAGAGGGCAGTGTATGGAGCTGTGGGAATGAAAGTGTAGCGGAGACCCCAGAAAGTTAGAAAAGGCAAGAACACAGAATGTCTGAGAAAAGCCACAAGGAGTGAGCAAAACTAGCCCAACAGAAAAACCACAAGGGCTATAACCATGGGCAGTGCCACAGGGGCAGGGCCACCCAAGCCATTTGAAGTTCACATCTTGCCACAGTTTGCCCCAGGTGCTGCACATGGAGCTGCTGAGCTGGGTTTTCATATTGCTTTAGTCCCATTCATTTTTATGCCCCTGTTCCTCCCTTTTGGAAGGGGAATGTTCACCCTGTGCCATTGTATATCAGCAGAGTTTAATTCTCTTTTTTATTTTTACAGTGGCTCACAGCTAAAGTCTCCTGTAAGTCTCAGAGGAGACTGGATTTGGGCTTTTCCACAATGCTGTAACTGTTAAGATTTTGGCAACTCTTAGAGATGGAGTAAATAAATTTTCCATAAAGGCACATGGGCCTTTGGAGGGGCAGGGGCAGAATGTTACGCTTTATATCTAGGTGTTCCCCCAAGGCCTCCTGCACTCACAAGAGGGGCCTTTGAAAGGTGATTGGGTCATGGGGATTCTGTGGCTAAATGTGATATGAGGCAGTGGGGTCTGGTTGGGAGAGGCGGGTCACTAGAGCCGTGACCTAGAGAAGTGCACTGCATCTCCCTCCCTGGGCTCTTGTTCTTTGCTTCCTGACCACCATGACGTGAGCGGCTTTTTCTCCACGGTGCTCCTCTGCCATGCCATCCTGCCTCGGAGCCCGGCAGCTGTGGAGCAAAGACATGAGGCAAAATAAACTTCGGCTCCTTTGAGCTGTGGGTATCAGGCATTGAGCCCCTGCAACAAGCAAGTGACTGAGGCACAGGTTTTCCCCACAGTGCAGCAACATGGCCCCTTCAACTCCACTCCCGCATCCTACCGCCCAGCACGGCCCATTTAAAGCCAGGCCCTCTGCGAGCTCAGCGTGGAAGGATGCTGTCAGCCCCTGCCCGGTCCGGGTGGCCTGAAGGTGGGGGCATCTCCAAAGGGAAATCAGAAGGGTAAGCTGATAGAGGTGGGCAGAACAATAACTCCACAAAGAGACAGCAGGCGGCAGGGGTTGAGGGAGACAGAGCGTCCGCGTGAAAAGGAGAAATTAGGGCAGTGGTTGGAGGGAGCCACAGAACCAGGCCGGCTTCCTATCTTTCCTTCTAGGTAGGAGAGATTTATGCCTGTCTGCAGGTGGAGCGAGGGCAGGTGCCAGTGGGGAAGGAGTGATTGAAGCTCCCGGAGGGAGGGAATAATTGATGGAGCCAGGCCCCCGCCAAGACAAGCAGAAAATGGAGTGCAGGGCACAGTGTGATATGAAAGGGGAAAAACAGAATGTCAGTGTCACCGGCTGCTGTTTTTCCAGAATGACACCTCTGGAGAGCGGTTTGCTGCGGTAAGGCTGCGAGCCCCGGACACTGCCTGATGCTCACACGGGGCCTCCAGAGCGTCCGTCCAGGGCTGGTCTGTGTTCTCGACAAGCTGGGGTGGGCTTCGGCCTTCTGTGGAAGGAGGTCCCTCATCTTGTAGTGGACCTGGCTTGCTTGCTTGCTGGTCTGATAGGTAGCGTTTTTTCTTGACTATAAAAGTAATACAAGTAAGGACTCTGCAAGATAAAGTTACAAAGAAGAAAATAAAAGTCCTTCCTACTTACCACCCTGGAGTAATCGCTGTTCACACCCTGGCATGCGTCACCTGTGCTCGAACACGCTGCATCCACAGCTGCACATCAGGCTTTTCCCCCTTCTATATTCCTTCACGAGGCTTCCGCCTGGCGCTCAGTAGTTTTGGGTGCGTCGTGAGAGTCACATCGAGCACGGCCCCTCAGGTTGCTCACGCAGCGTTGCCCCCCTCTTGGGAGCTTTGAGGTGGGGAAGGACTTCTGGCAAGGTTTCTAACGGTCTTCCTGTGTGAGCGTCCCCTCACTGCTACGAGATCCCTGAGGGAACGGCTTACAGGGAGGGAGGACCGCTGAAGCTCACGGTCCTGGGGGTCGCTCCCTGGTTGGTTGGCACTGTTGATCACGGCCTGCACTGAGGCACCACATCATGGTGGTATGTTTTGGCTATTTTTCTCTCATTGCTGAGACAAAATACTTGACACCCAGAATTAAGGAAGGAAAGGTTTATTTAGCTCACAGTTTGTGGAGGTTTCAGTCCATGCTCAGCTGGTTCCAAGGCAGAGTGGGACATGGCAGAGGGCAACCATTTGTGGGGCGGGGTGGAGGGGGGACAGCAAAAGCAACAACAGCAAAAGGGGGGAGTGGCGGCAAGCAGCCTCTTTCCCTCCCTTACATTGTATGCAAACTACCCGCCCCAGAGCGAGTGTAGCACTCACACCCATAATCCCAGCATTGGATCATGGGTCAATCACAAATCCTAGAAGCCCGCCCCATGACTGCATGAGGCTTTGAGGGGACATGCAGACACAAACCATAACATGGTGGCTTCTGGTTTATGGAGGAGGAAGCTGCTCACTTCTGGGGCAAGAAGGGGAAGAAAGAGGAAGAGAAAGGGATGGAGCCACAGTGTCCCCTTCAAGGCTTTTCCCCCAGTGATCTGGCCAGGCCTTACCTCACAAAGGTTCTGCTGTGGCCTGGGAAACCAAGCCTTTATCACACAGGCCTTTGGGAGACCCCAAGATCCAAACTGTGAAACTTCCCCTCAGTTTCTTTGATAGTTGCATGTTTAGAAAAATTGAAAGTCTATTAAAAATACTTTGCTTATAAAACAAGTAAGTTCTAGTTTTGAACTTACTTGAAGGGGACACTGGGGCTCCGTCCCTTTCTCTTCCTCTTTCTTCCCCTTCTTGCCCCTAAATAATTTTCTGCCAACGTGAACATCTGGTGGTGCAGTTGAGAGTTATGACAGGAGGCCACGCTCTGTGCCAGGACCGTCCTGTGTAGAGTAGGACTGGGACATCCCTGGCCCATCTCTCAAACGCCAGCAGGGCCCCTGAGGCAGAGACAGCCGAGAGGAGCCCGCGCAGCTTGGACGGCACTCTCTGGAGGTTGGCACTCCTGGACGAGAGGCACTACATAGGACAGTTCCTAAAGGTCCACATTTCTGCGTGTGTCACTAACAGGGCATCATCATGTCCCTTCTTCCAGAAGACCCGCAGGCCGCCAGGACGCCCCCGCGATCCCGCTGTCACACTGAGCAGGAGCACATGCTGCACGAGTCCTGGGACTCCCTCAGCGCCTTCGACCGCTCCCACCGGGGCCGCATCTCCCACCTGGAGCCCCAGGGGGACATCTTGGATGAGTTCCTGCAGCAACAGAGGAGCAGCCGGCCCAGGGACCAGCCACCACCCTGCAGGGACGAAGAGTCAGAGCCCTCCAAGGGGCAGGGTGACTGCTCGGTGGAGACAGGTGGCGGCAGCGACTTCAAAATCCCTGAATTGCCTCACGGACAGCACCTGGTCATCGACATCAAGTCTACATGGGGTGACAGACACTATGTCGGGCTTAACGGGATAGAAATCTTCAGTTCCACGGGGGAGCCGGTGCAAATCTCAGCCATTACAGCAGACCCACCTGACATCAATGTCCTGCCAGCTTACGGTAAAGACCCCCGGGTGGTCACCAACCTCATCGACAGGGTGAATAGGACCCAGGACGACATGCATGTCTGGCTGGCCCCCTTCACGCCAGGCCAGCCCCACTCCATTTCCATCGACTTCACGCACCCTTGCCAGGTCGCCCTGATCAGGGTTTGGAATTACAACAAGTCCAGGATCCATTCCTTCCGTGGCGTGAGGGACATCACAATGCTCTTGGACGGGCAGTGCATCTTTGATGGAGAGATCGCCAAGGCCTCCGGGACCCTGACAGGAGGTATAGTGTCTTGGGCAGAATGTTCTTGAACCCCTGTGTGCTGCTCATTGAAGCTGTGAGGGGAAAAATTAAACCCCCAGGCTAACCCATGACAGGTAGGGCCTCTCTTTCCCAGATCTGGTCACCTGCCTTCACCTCTTGCAGCCTGGGCATACCAGAGCTGGTCTCACAGCTTTTTCATCTCCTCCACTAAGAGCCTAAGCATCTTGGGCCCCTGGATCCTGAGTCTGAGGAGGGGCTTTATCCTGGAGAAATGCGTTGTGCAAGTGCTTTTAGGGAAACCTTGGGTCAGAGCGTGAGGGTATAATTTGAGGGGAAACCCAGCCTCAAGGGAGCTGCAGGCCATAAAGTATGGGGTCTCCTGGCCTCGGGCAAAGGAGTGGGCTTTGGGAGCCAGTCAGTCCCTGTCATACCCTTCCAGACAAGGCACCCATAAAAAGGATGAGCAGGGGTCTGGGTGTGACACTGAAGCATCAGCTACAGCACCTCACCCACACCAAAGAAATCACTTATTTGGTGGCAGATTACGCTGGTGCTGGTTCTCTGAGGTCCCTTCACTGGGTCCTAAGCTTTGTGAACTCCATCCTCCATTTGAAATACATGAGGAATAAGACAGCTCACAAACACAGCCAGTACCGTTAGGGTGTCAGGGTCACGCGGAACGGTTGCTGGGTTTAGGTTCTGGTGCTCACATCGTGGGAATGTGAGGCGAGCTGACCTTTCTGTCTTCCTGGTAACACACTCAGCCCCAGAGCACTTCGGAGACACCATCTTGTTCACCACTGATGACGACATCCTCGAGGCCATATTCTGTTCGGATGAGACATTCGGCGCTGGCGTGGAGAGCCTATGCGACCTGCAGCCGGAGGAGCCGCTGCAGAGGCCTAGCACGGCCGACAGCGACAGCCAGGAACGGCCTTTCACCCAGGCCGGCTTGAGCACTGACGCCCGGGTAGGCCTGGCGGAGGCGGGCCCCTCGGTGACTGCTCCTAGCTCAAAGCAGAGCCGGAAGGGTTAAGACAGATGTCCTTCGAGTTGCTCAGGCCACTGTTTTGACATTCCCTATTTTGTTCCTTCATTTTTTGTCCTGTGTGTCATATTTCATTCTCTAATTATTTTTTATTTTTTATTTATTTAACCAAAGTGAAGAAAGCAATCGAATTTTAATCAAAGCCAGGAGATGTCGGCTACATGTCATCAGTATAATTTAGAGGTTGGCAGTCGAGCGGGAGCTTTTCCTTTGGGTTCTGTTTCACTCCCTCACTGCTGTTTTGGATGGAAAACTAGACATCCCTTTTGTAGGCAGCCTTGCAATTAGAATCACAATCAGCACAGGCACGGCGTCCGAGTGCGGGTCACCATCCACGTGTGTCCTGGCATTAGTGTGTTTGCCCCCACGGTGGCCTCTGAGTAGAAACTCTTCGTGTTCCCATTGAGGAGCTGAGGCTCAGAAGGTGAAATGACTTGCCTACGGGCACAGCAGCTAGAATTTGAATTCCTGGGTCCAAAGCTTATACTTTTCATCAGTATACACATTTTTAAAAAAATAAAGATGGCCTTCAAAGCAAAGGTCAGTCCAAGTCCCAAAGGTCTCTGGGGACCTTCTCGTGACCTGAGGGGACAAGACATGATTAAGCATGGGGAGAGGAGCCTGGGGACAGCCAGAAGCCACAGGAGAGAGGGCTGAGCCGTGGGAACATCACGACCAAGGCCAAACAGCAAAATGGCGGCCTGTAGAGCCCACGTGCTCACCCTGCAGGACCAGGCAGAGCTCCAGGACAAGGTGGTAGGCAGGGGGGGACCTTCCCTGCACCGGGTGTGCCCCTCTCACATCTAAGGAAAGTGGCTGACACACTGCCCAGGTGACAGTTGCTTACCCACTGGTACTTGTTCTCTTGATGTTTTTCAGGAGAACCAGAAATCTGGGTTTTTATGTAAAATGTCAATTTTAAAAAGGACAACTAATTCAGATGTTTTCAAACTTTCTATGGCCACGAAATATGCCGTGGTCTGACTTGATCTATGAGCCTCCACTGGGAACTGACCTTGAGGTCTTCCATTGCCCAGTTTTTCCGGAAAATAAAGGTTCTCACTGGGCCTTGTGGACGGACCCCAGCCCGTGTGTTGGAGACAAGCGGTTCTGCTGGGTTTTGTGTCCCAGCTCTGCTGTCTCTGTAAAATAGAGAAGGGGCTTCTGCCCTGACACAGGGTGCAGAAAAGTAATGGGCAGTCTGGACGTGGGACCCAAGGAGCAGGTATGGCAGCCACTTCGATTCTATCCTGGCCGCTCGTGAGAGTCAAGTGAGACTTTAGAAATGCAGACAGCCGGGCCCCACTGGAGATGCTGGCTGTGGGAACAGCCATGCTGAAAAGCTCGCTCTGGTTTGAATCCTGCCTTCTTTCCTCCCTCCTCCTTCTTTCCTTCCTTCCTCCTTCCCTCCCTCCCTCTCATTAGATAAACATCATCAGGTTCCTCTCTGTTAGTGGAAACCCAAGTGTCTTACTATAACATCACGCATCTGCGCCACCGACAGTTGCAGCTGGCAGGGATCAGCCCCGCAGGCGCCCGCGAGTCACAGAGCTTCTGCAAAGGCTGATGTGCCAGAAAAGACCCAGGGATTTCCCGGGACGTGGGGAGGGCAGCCATATTTGGGCACAGCCAGCCAGCTGTGTGCGTGCCCCTAAAACTACCCCCTCTCCCTCTGCTTCTCCCCTGACCACTGTGCAGGCCCCAGGGCTAGAGCTACCGCCAAGCGGCCCTGTCCCCGAAGTCACCACACCGGAACCAGGCATCTACCACGGCATCTGTGAGTACTGCCCGCCCTGGGTGTGGAGGGGTGTTCCGGCCACTTGGCACAGGGTTTCCTTGGTCAGTTAGCTGGGTGCAGCCTACACAGAAGTGCCGGGCTGTGGGGCATTTGAGGGCTCAGACTGTCCTCTGCTCAGCTCTTGGCCCGGCAGGGCTGCCCCCTTTCAGAGGAGCAGCGCCTCCTTGCAGTTTATCTTCCCAAGGGGGTGGTTTGTGTTTTGCAAATGGACGCCCTGTGTGCGCTATGGGTCCGACTGGGGAGGCTGGAGCTGGAGCCCAGCTGGTGTAGAAGAGGGGACCTCAGCACCAGAGGGACTCTGCACAAGTACTTGTTCCCAAAGTGCTGGGAGCTGCCGGTTCACACTCAGCCTCAGAGCAGGGGAATGCACCAGGCCAGCCTTCGTCCTCTGCCCCAGTCGGCGGGTGGCAGGAACACGGCCCTGGGAACCAGATCCTCTGACCTCTGAGAGGTCAGCAGTCCAGCTTTTTGTGTGAGCGCAGTGTTGAATAATTTTATCGTGTTTTAAAACACTGCGTGAGCCTACCGAAACACCTGCTATGACCTCCTCCGGGTAAATCCCATCTGGCCCTTGGCTGGTCGTCCTTTCTCCGGGCCTCCTCGCCGCCAGCTCCTCTCCTCACTCATGGCCATCCCCATGAGCCCGAGCCGCCCCGCCGCTGCAGGCCACAGCTCACAGGTCACAGCTCGCTGCGACCTCTCCCCATGTCTTCCTGACCCGCTCTGCCCAGGGGCTTCGGCAAGCTTCACTTGCAGCTCTTTCTTACCCCGGTGCCTGCTGGAATCCCCACTTCGCGTTTATCTCCCACAAACAAGAGCTGACACCGTTCCCGCCTTCCCCACGAGGCCCAGAGTGCAGCCCCAGCCCTTGCCCTGCTCCTGCCCACAGCGCCCTGGCCCTCCAGGCACCGACCAGAGTCTGAGAGCGGGCTGTGCAGGCTGTGCAGGGCGTCACAAGGCTGCGCTTGGGCCCCACATCCGGGCATGGCGGGAGGCGGGTCTGAGGAGTAGCGGGAGGGGGAAGTCAGGCTTCAGCCAGCCCTGCAGGCTGCTCGGAGGCTGGGGCCTTCGGGGGTGTCTAGGAGAGGGAAGGAGCAGTGTCCCCATATCACTAGATATGGGCTGCCCCAGAGGACAAGCAGGGCCCTTTGCAGAGAGTCAGGGGTCTCCAGTGGGGTTCTCAGCAGTCCTTCAGGCTGGGGTTGGGCGGGGTCTTGGCAGTGCACACCGTGCCCCTTCCTTGAGGCCCCTCAGCTGTGCTCAGCAGCAGCTGACCCCTGCCCCGTCCCCAGTGAGAGCTTCGTCTCCCCACCTGCTCCGGAAGGACAAATAGTCTTGCAGAAGACAGGAAGGTGACGTATCCGGAACCCTCACGGCCCCACGCATTCCAGGCTACTCTCAGTTTCCTTAGAACAACAGTCAAAAGCCAACCTTCTGTAGGCAAGAGCCTGGCTTGAGGAAGGTTTCGGTTCTCACGCAGACACACCCAGGGGCTTTTCCAGCCAAGCATTGCCCACGCCCAGCTCCTCCGGCCCACCCCCATTTTCCAGACTAGGTCAGGCAGCTGAGGCTTGAGGAGCCTGAGTAACTCGCACCCGGTCCCACGGCTAGTGCTGAAGCTGGCGTGGCCCATGTCCCCCCACCCTGCCACGCTGCCACAGGGCTCTTGCTGAGACGCCTCCCCACCTCAGAGGCCCCTGGGAGTCAGCGTCCCCGGGGAAGCCGTGGCTTCCCTCAAGACAGCAGCTGTTTCGTACGGAGTTGGCGCTCCCCTCCGTTGGTCAAGATCCTTCTTCCTGTTTTTTATGAACAGTGAAAACTGAACTCAAGCTGAGTTAGGCAAAAGGGATTACGAACAGTGTTGACTTACAAAGCTAAAAAGCTAGAGGTCACAGGTGCCTGCCCAGAGGGACACCGACATGAAAATGACGTCTCACGCCTTGGTGCGTCTGCCCCACTTTTGCCCTGTCCTCCTTGCCTGTACCCCGCCACCCAGGCTGTCCACACGGGGACTCCTGGGAGCTCTGGAGTCACATCTTCCTTCCACCCTGCAGTCCCAGATGAGAGAGGGCTGTCTCTCCCAGGGGAGCCAACAGCTGTCCCACAGCGAAATCTCTGAGTCTAGCTGGAGTCACATGCCTGTCTGCAAAGCAGTGGTCTTGGCTCACCCTGGTGGGGAGAGAGGAGGCGGGAGGTGGGAAGCTCAGAGCAGCCAGGTCCGGTCAGCGTCCAGCAGGATCAGCCACCCGCAGCACAGACCGAGCAAAGCACTGTTCTCTCCAGCATGCTTGGATCAGAAGGAAGGCAGGCAGAGTGCTGGCCGCATAGAAGTCGCCACTGTCTCTTCATCTGCCGATGTCTCCAAGATGCTGTTTATCAATGTCTTTCCCACTCAACCAGCTCCTGACCTTTCTCAGAGATTGGAGTGCAGTACCTTGGGGAATTTGGCCCTGAAATAGAGCTCAGCGTCTTTTTGCTGTAAGGAAGGCGGAATTTCTGTGCTGATCTCAGTAGCAAGGCCTTTCCTCCTAACACCCGCTGCATATGTTCCTAGGCCTGGGATTTTTGAAATCTCTCCTCTCTGAACCTTTGGCCTTGCTCCCCGCCACAACCCGTATCCAAATCCTCCACCTCCTTCGCCCATCTGTGCAAATGGAGGGAGCCTTAATAAGGCGACCCAGGGGGTGTGCTGGGGTCAGTAAATACGGCCAAATCCTATTAGTGTTTTGAAAGGGAAGATACGACTTGCTAATTTGCAGATGACACTAATTTTGGAAGTTTTGCAAATATCAGCAGTGATGAATAGGAGAGGAGCTGAGAGTGTTGAAACACGGGAGAGGAATAACAAAATTAATTTCCATTTATATAAATACTAATTGATACACCAAAGGAAAATGAATATGGAGTGTGGGTATTAGCTCAGAAAAGGAGAGTAATCATTTCCAGAGCGCCCCAGATTCGATGAAACTGGCACTTCTTGCCAGGCAAACAAAGAGATGGCAGGCTTGGGAGAAGGCGAGCCACGGTCTCTTTTGTCTCCGCTCGGGGAGGTGGCATTTCTCCCTCGCGTTGGTCCCTCTCGTCCAAGTCCACCCCCTGTCCCGCCTCCAGCGCCTCTCCGTGGGGAATGCCGCCCACAGCCTCTGTCGCCCAGGTCAGAAGCGCTTTTCCCTCCCTCCGTATCCGTGCCGTTGAGAGACCTGCTGACACTGCAAGTGTCCTCCGCCTGGCCGCGTCTCCCCATCCTCACTCCGACCCCCGTGCCCGCGCCGGCTTCCTCCCCGCTGGTCTCCTTGCACAGGCCGGCTGCAGAGCATGTCCAGAAAGTGCAGCCTGCCACCGCTTCCCGTATCGGGAAAACGCAAACTTCCTGGGCTCTAACCCCACCTCTCTTTCCAGTCTGCTTTTCATCTGCTGTCCCTGAGCTGCCCAGCTGTGGGTCATGTTTGTTCTCCTCTCAGCCCAGGATGTTCTTCTTGCAGAAATGCAAAAGCGTGCTGGGCTCCTCAGCACCCTGGCCCCAACTCCAGTGTCCCCTCCGGAGAGGCCTGCTGACCCCGGCTTCTGCTCAGCCACTCCCTTCCCATGTCTCAGTGGCTCCCGTAACATTCATCACTCTGTGGAACTGCTGTAGATGTGTACATATTTGTTAGGTGTTTCTGGTTCTCTTTGTCAGAGCAAAAGCCCTTTGAGCTCAGAGATTCTTGTGTGCTACTCACCCCTCATCTTCAATGCCCAGGATAGGATCTGGTACACAGTAGATGGTCGAGAAATACTTACCATTCACTATGAATTTGGTGGGGTCCAGGAGTTTTATTTTGCCTTGCTTACAGACAGCTACTGAATACCTACTTTGCAATCAGTGATGTGTTTAAAATAAAAATCGATTGAGCCATATGTGCCAGGCACTGTTCTAGGTTCTGAAGATAGAGCCGTGAGCCTCCGTTTTAGTCAGGGAGACTAACGAAAGAGAACAAGCACATAAATGTAGACTCTGTGGCCAGGTGGTATTAAGAGCTGTGAATAAGAGCTCAGGCTCAAGGGAATAGAGAGGGCTGGTGGAGGGGTTGCTGAGCTCAGGCTATCCAGGAAGACCTCCCTCGAGACGACAGGAGGAGAAGGGGTGTATTGGTTGGCTTCTGCTGTGGAACAAACCAACCCAAATTTTAGTAGCTTGACAGTCACTATTTTTTTCATAATTGGCTCATAATCTGTGTCCTGACTGGGCAGTTCTCAGCTGACCCACTTGGTTGGCTTCTTGGGGGCCTGCCCATGTTCTGATCAGCTGGTGGGTGGACCAGTTGCTGATGACCTGTGATGTCCAGCAGCTACTGACTGGGGGAACAGAGGACTGGCCAGGCTGGCCCTTTCCAAGCAGACTCAGGATTCCGAGTGTGGAAAGACAGGCTAGGGCCCAGTGTCCACACACCTTGTAGCCCTGTCTGTGTGGCGTTTGCTTCTGCTCTGTTAGGCGAAGCGGGTCAGAGGGCAGATGCAGGGTGGAGAAATGGACTCCACGTGTACACGGGATGAGCAACCAAGTCACACTGAGTAGGGGCAAGAGCACAGGACCCGGGGTCCATGCAGCCACTGTGCACACTCCGGAAGCCGTCAGGAGTGATGTGCCCAGTGCTGTGCACGCCATGTGTCTTTTTCATCTGCCCTGAGATGCTCCAAGCAAGGGACCTTGGCACCACGAAGAGCAGCAGGACATGAGTCACAGAAAGAGTGCTGGGGAACAACAGGGACCTCACGGAGGACACCACGCTCGGGGAGGTTAGGGGACAGGCCCTGGCCACAAGGCCGTCCTGTAGCCTCTCGGTTTTATTTTTGGTTTTTTTTGAGACAGGGTCTTGCTATGTAATCCAGGCTGGCCTTGAGCTCACTATGTTGCGGAGGGTAGCTTTGAACTCCTGGCGATCCTCCTGCCTCAGTCTCCCGAGTGCTGGGATTACAGGCGTGCGCCACCACGCCCGGCCTCCTGTAGCCTCTCTGGGTGGGATGGCAGCTTCTCTGAGCAGAAGTGGGACGGGACTTGATGACACAGGGCTTCCTTCATCGCAGCAGCACTGGCATTCTGAGGAAACTGGAGAGCAGGGATCTTTTGACCTCAGCCACCCAAAGGGTGCTAAAATAAGCCACAGGTCCTCTGGGGGCAGACTAGTACTCTGGGCTTGGTCCTGCCCTAAAGAGAGGCCAGAACGGAAGGAGAAATTCCAGCCGATGGCACACATGGCGGGCAACCAAGAGGTCCATCCAGTATGGACTTTCTGGGCAAACGGATGAGTCACTGGGCTGTTTTGCCCTTAAGACCCTTCTTAAGTGGTCTCTGCTGGAGTATGGCTGAAGGCAGGGACAGAAGGCTGGAGACGACACCAAGTTATTTCCTTTGCCCTGAATCCATGTGATTCTTTACAGTAAAGGCCAATTTGTATAAAATGTCAGCTTGTCCCAAATTTGTGGCTTACTGATGCGACCAGTTTCATTTAGTTATTTACTTATTTAAGTACCCCATCTGCACTGAGCCCTACTATGTGCTAGGCACTATGCCAGGATCTGAGGATGGTCTAGAACAGGTGGCGAACCTATGGCACGCGTGCCACAGCGGGCATGCAGAGCCCACTCTGTTAGCATGGGAGCTAATTCACCTCACCAGCCAAACATCAGATAACAATCTTTTTTTCTAAACTAAAACCTCCATATTTGGGTTTAATTGCAGCCTTGGCACTTTGTGATAAATAAGTGGGTTTGAAGTTGCAATTTGGGCACTCGCCTCTAAAAGGTTCACCATCTCTGGTCTAGAAAAAAGGATGAGATTTCTCTCTTAAGAAATTAACCACTCAGCCAGGTGTGGTGGCACACGCCTGTAATCACAGCACTGGGAAGGCTGAGGCAGGAGGATTGCCATGAGTTCAAAGCCAACCTGGGCTACAAAGTGAGTTCAAGGCCAGCCTGAACTGCATAGCAAAACCCTGTTTCAAAAAAAGACAAAAAAAAGGAAAAAAGAAAGAGAGAGGGAGGGAGGGAGGGAAGGAAGAAGGAAGGCAGGATAGAAGGAAGGAAAGAGAGAGAGAAAGAAGAAAGAAAGAAAGAAACAAACAAACAAACAAACAAACCACCCAGCAGGGCAGACAGATATTTTCCAAATGACCCTGAGATCACAGTGGTGACCAGGACTCGGAAGAGGAAGTATGCGGTGCGTGGCAGGCTGTGGATGGAGGGCTGACCGAGGCAGGGGGCAGGAGGCAGGAGGCAGGGCGCTGTGACCTGAAGGATGCGTGCAGCTCACCAAGTCACGTGCATTCCAGAGGGAGGGAGCCGCATGCGCAGAAGCCCATGGTTGGGAGAGGAAGAGGAATATAAGCAACTGAGAGACTATCTGGATGGAGCTCAGGGTCCTTGGTGCACAGTGAGGCTGGAGAAGTGGGTGGAAGCCCTGTGGGACGTGCTTGGCTGGCCACACAGCCTGGAAAGCCACGCGAGGGTGTTACCTGTGGGGTGCGGTGAGGTGGGCCGGTGTGACCCCAGGCCATATGCAAGCTTGAACAACACTCATCTATTCAGCCTGCAGACACGTCCTGAGCCTTGGCAATAGTCTGGGCCCAAGGGCTGTGGGAGCAAACAGGCAGAGCCCAAGTTTGTACAACGCAGAGGCTAAGGCTGCTCCTCCTGTCTCCACCTTCCGTCAGCGCTGGGGGCCCTGGTGCTGATGAGCCCCTTTTCTTCCCGTCGCAGGCCTCCGGCTGAACTTCACAGCCTCCTGGGGGGACCCGCACTACCTGGGCCTCACCGGCCTGGAAGTGGTGGGCAGGGATGGCCAGGCCCTGCCCATCCACCTGCACCAGATCTCTGCCTCCCCGAGAGACCTGAATGACCTAGCTGAGTATACAGACGACTCCCGGACCCTGGACAAGTAAGTGTCTCTGGAAAGCTGCGCTCTGTGCGGCCCGAGGACTGGGTCTCAGGCCTCAGACACAAACATCGAACAGGATCCCGCCTGTCACCCGTCCCCACCGCCTCGTCGGTGACATCCTGTGGTTATGGGGAACCAAGGCGCGGGAAAGAGGGTGACCTTCCCAGAGCCGCACAGCTAGAGGAGGTAGGCGATGCAAAGCCGTGCTCCCTTCCCGCAGACACCCTTCTCCACCGGGCTGAGCGCACTGCCCGCACACAGGAGCCGGTAGCTGTCAGTAAACCTCTGCAGCAGACAGCTCCGCCTTGGTGCATGAGCGCCTCGGGCCTCTTGGGGCTGGAAACTTTCTCTCCATTTCCACTTGCACTTGTCAGATTTCCCACCCCAAAGTCGGGGCAAGTCCACGAGGGTACAAGCCGCCGATCTAGCAGCCATCCCCAGGGACCCACACCCGAAGACTGGCGCTTGGCCGCCTGCTCTGCACAGCTGTGGGGCCTGGCCACTGCCTGAAGGGGTGAGTGAGGAAAGTCAGGGGGAGTCTGGAGTTCAAATCCCACCTCTGCCCTCTGCCGCCTGTTGAGATTCCTAACCTCTCCAATAATAACAGTAATGACAACAATGATAATTGCTATTTTTTTTGTTTTTGGTCCTGGGAATCAAATTCAGGCATCCCGTACTGGCACTGACCACTTATGGGCCATTCTGACCTCTGTGTCCTGGTAATTCACCCTCCTGAGTAGTTAAACGTGGAGCCCACGGGCCTGGCTCGTGGCTGGCTGCAAAAGTGACCCACACCCAGCCTAGCTCGCTCAGATCCCCACTCCCCACCCGTCTGCCCAGGTATCTTGCAGCAAGTCTCAGGCCTGCTCACACATCTTCTCTAAATATTTCAGTATATATCTCTAATCAGTAGGTCTTTAAAAGGAGAACATAATCTCAGTATCATTAGCACACCTAAAAAATGTTAACACCGTGGTTCTTTAAACTACCAGGTGTCCAGCGCAGTGGTCTTTCGATCTTTCACAGTTTGCTCACTTGAATTGAGGTCCAGATAAGATCCGTGCACACGATTGGTTGAGAGGTCTCTCCAACTTTGTGCTGGGGTCCCTTCTGTTGCTTCCATTTTTTTTCTCGTAAGTTATCTGTTGAAGGAACCACATTTTCTTTCCTGGTGAAGTCTGGGTTTTAACACTCGCATCCCTGTGTTGTTTAACCTGTTCCTCCATCCCCTGTATCCTGGGCAAGTTGTTAATGAGATGTAGAAACGATCAGGTCAGGGTTTGGCCGCTGGGGTAAAAGAGCGGTGTAGAAGCTGCTGTGTGGCCGTCAGGACGTGTGTCTGTGTGTTTGCCAAGTCTGCAGTGACAGTGGTGGCCGGTCATGCTCAGGGCCGGGCCCATTCATTTGCTAGTCGTCTTACACCCTTTTCTCGTTTATTTGCTGAAGTGATTGTGATAAAGACAGTTTCCCTGAAATTCCTTATTCTGTGGTGCAATTCAAACAGGAAAGGAAAAGCAGCCTACATGCCTTGGTTTTCTTTCCCCCTTAGCTTTCAGAATAACAAAAGGCTTCTCTGAAACATTTTCAGATGTTTTTGGATATCGTTATAAACTTACGATTTAGGCGTACTGTGGTTGGAGGGTTTCGATCCATAGCCCTTTTTATCCTTGCTGGTGCAGTTCCCTCTTGATCACGGGAGTTTCTGAGTCTGTTTATTTATTTGTTTGTTTATGATTATGGTGCTGGGGGTCAAACCCCGGGCCTTGTGCATGCTAGGCAAGCGCTTTACTACTGAGCTACATCCCCAGTGTGCCGAGTTCTTGTAAAATAACCGTCTCTCGCAGCTTCCTTGCCTTCGATGGGACAAGGTGGTCTGGGTTCATCTTGTGTATTTCTTGGCCCAGACCTTGGCTCAGTCTTTTTTCTAAGAAGCCCTGACCTTCCGGAGGGAAATGGTATTTAGAGACCATAGTCAAGCCACAGGGGCCGCTCGCTGCTGCTGGGTTGGCTGTGGTTTGGAGGCCTTTCTGAGGACAGGGCCAGGCATTCCCTTAGATGCCCTTGAGGGTGTCTGTGGGCCTCCTTTGTGGTCACCTATGGGTGCCTCAGCACCCTCTCTGCTCTCAGAATAGAGCAGCAGTTTTGCGGTGGAAGAGGCCCCATTTCTAGGACAGAAAAGTAATTGCTTTGGGAAGGAAAGAGAAGGTTCTCTGGTGAGAGCTCTCAGTCAGCTTACCTTCACAAACACCCGGTGTCAAACTGCTGAATTTCCTCAGTGTTAAGATGCCAGCGGTTGTGAGACACACCATCCATCAATTTAATAACAGCTTTTTGGAGGAGAAAAAAATTACATTACCTCCTGGGATGAACACTTAGATTGCAGGACTTAGTCCAAACCCAAAATTTTAAAATGTAAAAAGAAAAAAAAAATATTTGCAAATTCAGGAAGCACGGCAGCAACCCATCACCCCCAGCACGGTAGGTCGGAGTCATCAGGAATACGGTGTGGCGGGCTTAGGACAGGGAAGGGGGGTGGGAGGGGCCTGAGACAGCTGGGTCCCGCCCCTGGGGCAGGTCTCTGAGTGGCAGGGCCATGGGCCGGGCCAGGAGGACAAGGGTTGAGGCAGAGCTGGGGAGGATGAGACAGGGTGGCGCAGGCAGTGGAGCCAGAAACTGGCAAAGACGTGGGTGACAGCTCCTCGGTGTCCAAGGAGGCTGGGAGGAGCACAGGGTGCTGGGGGCTCCCTCCTGTGACTGGGGCTCCTCTGGGGTACCCAGGCCCATGGGTACTGCCATCGTCTGCCCAGTCCTGTGCCCAGGGTCACCTGCCTCTTCCTGCCCTCACCCCCAGCCCAGGGCCATCTCATCCCCTGGTGTTTTGGTACCTTTCTGCCAGGTTCATGTCTCTCAGAATGCACCATGAAGCCAATGCAGGAATCTCAGGAAGTTTGGAAAACAGAGCAATGCCACTTCCCGTCCCCTCCGTCCCCAGCGTGTCTCATGTTCGCAGCCTCTCGCGGTCCTGGTCCCCATTCCCCAGCGTTACAATCTGTGTCCCTGCCGCGTGAGGCTCCCCTTCCCGGGTTATCACAACAGCTGCCGATCGCTGCTTAGTTCCAGTTGACTTGACCAGCTCCCTATTCTGGGAGATGTTAGGCTGTCCTGAGTGTGTGTGTGTGTGTGTGTGTGTGTGTGTGTGTGTGTGTGGCCAGTACACTTAACCCTAATCAATATCTTTGTGCAGATAACCTTTCCAGTATGCAGAATGAATTCTCCACAAGGGTGAAAAAGTCCCAGAAGTGGGATTGCTGGGTTAAAAGATTCTGAAATATGGCACATTTTCCTTGCCTTTTTCTTTTTTAACCCCGGTTGACTGCTTCACTGCACCTTTAACGGCACTGGCTGTTTTTAGTTCTTTTTAAAAAATATTTTGTCTAATTTTATAGGTGAGAGATGCCCCCTCACTGTAGATCTTATTAGTCATAGCTCCTGGCTAACCTGATGGCTTCCCTGGGCCTGGTAGAGGAAGAGAGGGGGACCCCACCCCCAGCCCCAAGGGTCTCCACACCCACTGGCTGCCCCTCCCCCCCACCGCCAGGTTGATTGACGGAGTCAACGTCACCACGGAGGACGAGCACATGTGGCTGATCCCCTTCTGGTCGGGGCTGGACCACGTGGTCACGATCCGCTTCGACAGAGCCGAAAGCCTGGCCGGCCTGCGCTTCTGGAACTACAATAAATCTCCTGAGGACACCTACCGGGGGGTAAGCCAGGGACAGTGGCCGCGCTCAGGCCACTGTCAGGGAAACAGCCCTGTGATGAATGGCCAGCGCGGCTGCCGGAGAGGAGCATAAATCCTCCGGAACTTTCCAAGTAGAGCTGGGGGGGATATCCAGAGGAGGGGAGAGCTGCTATTTCTCTCCACAAGCAGCAAATGCAGACGCAAGAGTCCAGTGCAGCCAGGAAACTGAGCCAGTTCTGCTGGAGCTGGAGCCCCCCGCAGGCCCAGGCCTCCCCTCGCAGTGACGGTTACAGCCCTGAGATCCGCGGCGCGCTCCGGGGCCAGGCCTGTGCTGGGGGCGTCCTATGTGCCTGTCATTGCATTGTCTTCATCCCAGCTCACGGGGACAGGTGCTGCTGCCCCAGCTCTTGGGGTAGTAAATGGAGGTTCAGAAAGGTTCAGCCGTGAACTTGAAGTCACACAGCTGAAACACCCCAGGTCTGCCAGATGCGAGGCCCACTTTCCATTCCCACGCCTTGGTCTTGTCTTACTGGTGTGAGAATCTGGTTTGCTGAGATGCGGCCTCTGTCAGGACAAGGAACAGTCACCAGAGGGCCGCTTTGCACAGGCTTGTCTGACCTCTGGGGCCCGCGAATGGCCAGCATTGTCTCCGTCCCGTCACACAGAGTGGCAGTAAGGCCACCAAAGTGCAGGAGCACAGGGACACCCTCGCTCACGGGGCCCGAGTGTGCCCCCAGCACCGTGTGGCCGTCTTCCCTGGGCTCCTCAGCCGCAGAATGAAACGGGGGCCGCCAGCCTCGGGACGGCTGGTACCCCTCTCACCACAGGACGATTGACAAGGCCAGGACTCAGCCTTGGATTGTGGTCCCCAGACCTGGGTCCCCTCCAGGTGCCCGTTTCTCCCGGGGGACATAGAGGGCCTGGGGACCTGGGTTCTCATTCTGGAACCCTGGGCCCGGAGTCCCCACCCCACAGGCCTGGCCCCTCAGTCTGGGTGTCCGTGAGGAGTGGCCATGGAGGCCGAGGGCGGTGGAGGCAGACACGTGGTGCGAGGGAGCGGGTCCCCCAGGGCAGGGGCCTGCGCCCTGTGACTCTCAGGTCCTCACACCGAGGCCCTGCAGAGTCCCCTGTCATTATGGGTTGGAAGCCAGGCCTTAGACTCCTGCAGATGGGGCACACTGGGGCCCAGGAGACGCCGCCATCCTCCAGGGCCCACACCTCCTGCAGGAAGCAGCTTTTAGGCAGAGCTGGCTGCCGCCAAGCAGCACCTGCGTGTCACCTGGGCTATGGCCACGGGACCGGAGGGCAGAGAGGCTGAGCAGTTTGGGCCTCAGTTTGCTGCCTGTGTCCCAAGGAAAATGCTAGCAAGTCCAGGGTTACGCCCGTCCAGTTCCAAGTCCAGAGGAGAGAGAACTCCCTGGGTAAGACAAGGAGGCCCCATTGTTCCCCCTGGGCCGCAGGTCCCGCTCTGGCCCCGGGGTGGGGATGAGCCTTGAGGTCTGTAGAGCAGAGCGCAGTAGAGAGAGAGGGACCAGCTCAGAGACGGCCGCGCCTGGAGCCAGCTAGCAGAACAGAGCCGTCGAGAGGCCGAGAAGCCAGCTGCGCTACAGATTTCGGGTTCACACGGGAGCACCTGACAGAGCCAATGGGGGAGCAGAGGGCCCTTTGGCATCTCCCAAAAGGAAACCCCAGCAGTCTGATCAGAAGCTGCGCCCATGCTGCTCACTGTGAAGGTGCAGAAGGTGTTGAGGAGAACCTGATCCCAGAATCTCTGGTCAGAGAAGCGGTGCCGGCCATGGCCCGCCAGCATGCCCCACCCCCACCCCGCCTGTAGCACAGGCCGTGGCTGGACCGCTTCACACTCTGCATTAGGACTTGGATTTACTCGTCGATCCCAGCCCTCTGGCTGGAAGACTCTGGCCTAGAACAGGGGGATGTATTGGCCCAAATCCACGGGAACTTAGCGAGCTCTCAGTGAGTACTAATGTGCAGCAGGCCTGAGGTAGTGCGGGAGGTGGTTTGGCTGGGGTCTGTGCCATCCAGAGAGACCCAGACACTGCTAGGCAGTCCACGCCTGAAAAGACGTGCTGAGTGCTCTGGGAAGGCCAGGAGATGGGCCCTGCTGTCCCAGGAGCAGGTGCGATGACAGGATGGCTATATGACCCGGAGTTTGAAGGAGGCGTGATACAGACCAGGCTGACATGGTGCACATTCATGCCAGGCATCATTTGGGGTGTGCTTCAGAAGTTAACTCTGTTATGCCCATTTGACAGGTGGGGAAAGCGAGGCACAGGGAGGCTCAGCTATCTGCATGCACTAAACCTGCGCCCTTGACCTCCACATAGTGCTGCGGTAGCCACTGCAGCTGGTGATACAGGTGGGGCCTTGGCAGACTCCCATGCCACCCCTGCAGCTTGTCAACTGGAGACCAGGCCACAGTGCCCACCGCAGTAGGGACCTTGTCGATCTGGTCCTCTGCTCCCTGCCAGGTGCCACACCTGGCATGAAGCAGGGCTGACCCTGGGACACCGGCCAAGCCTGTCATCCTGGTGGGGGAGAAAGCCAGGCCTGGCCACGCTTTCACCAGGGCTCTGCACATGCTCTCTCTGCAGGCAGTGCCAGCACAGGCAGACCAGCACCCGCCGCCGCCCCTGCACCCGTGCTTGACATGGCGTGTCTTGTTTGCTAGGCCAAGATTGTGCACGTGTCCCTGGACGGCCTGCGTGTCTCTCCCGCAGAAGGCTTTCTCATCCGGAAGGGCCCCGGCAACTGCCACTTTGATTTTGCTCAAGAAATCCTCTTCGTGGACTACCTGCAGGCCGGGCCGCCAGCCCTGCCGGCCAGGAGGTGAGGGGGCTGGGGGGCTGGGCGCCTGGACGCCCTGCCGGTCTGCACCACCCGCTCTGCGCGCCATTCTGAAGTGTGGACCCACAGGGTTTTGAAACGATGATCAAACGCAGTGCTTTTGAACTTGGCCATTTTCTAAAGCTCAGCCAAGCCTCTGCAGAACCTGTGGGATGGGGCCCGCCTCGTCTGGGGCTGTTTGGGTTTTTCGCAGTCTGGAGTGCTTAAGATTTTAAATGCTTCACTGCGCTTCCTGCTGGGAAAAGAGGCCACAGCCTGCCTCGATTCCAGAAATGCCCGCTGGCCGGTTCAGGAGAGGGCTTTCCTTCCCTTGTTTCTGTGTTCCTTATTTTAAAAGATTCCAGGCAGAAAAATAGAGCCTCACATTTCATAGCTCGCTGGGGTTTCCCAGCCCCAGTCTCTGCCGAGTGCATAATGGTTTGTAAATGCCACGTTCCGTTTACTCACTTAACCCCTGGTGGCCAAAGGCCGGAGGCCAACCTCTCAGAATGAGACGAGGTCCCCTCCCGTAGCCCGGATCTCTTCCTGGGCCAGTCACCGGGAACAGTCACTTAATTGTAGCGTTGCCTTTGACACTGTGGGAAACCCCGGCTGGGATGGAGGCACTACCAGCAGACCAGGGAGGGAAGCCAGCTGGGAGAATGGTGCAGGACACAGCTCCTCCTCGCTAGGCCCAGACGCTTTCTGTTCATCCTCTGAAGCGTGCTCCCAGCCGCCCTTGGAAGGAGGATTATGTGCCCATTGTACAGTGTGGGAACTGAAGCCACAGCCCACGAGGCTGCCCTGCGTCCTGCCCTCCTTTCCCTTCCTCTTTCCTTCTGCCCACATGCCAGCCCTTCTGGCCACTTCCTGTCCAAGTGCCACCCTTTCCCCCCCTCAGCCCCTTCCTACCTCAGGGCCTTTGCTTTGCCACTCCTCTGCCACCGCCCATCCAGCCACTCCGCCGCCAGCATGGACTCTGCCAGCCAGTGGGGGAGCCATCCAGAGCAGGTGGTAAGACAGTGGGCAGGACTCAGGCACGTGCCAGACCTGCCACACAGCAGCCTCACGGCCCTGAGTGAGTGACTGCAGCCCTCTCCGCCCCGGAGTCCATGCGCACAGCTCAGCTTGTTTGAGGATGCAAGGGTCCGTCTCAGAAGAGTGGCTCCTGGCCAGCCTCCTGCCACCTTGCCAGTCACGGCCCTCGGGGCAGTAGGCCTCCTCAGGAAGGGAGAGGGGCGCCAGGCTGCCACAGTTCCGCCAAGTCCCCTGCCTGGGAGTGACAGACCAGGGACCTTGGGCTGCTGGAGACTCACAGAGCTGTTCTGTTTCCCCAGGCTGGACACGAGAAGCCTGGAGCGCGCAAGCATGGACTACGAGGCCCCGCCCATGCCGTGCGGCTGTATCCTCTGCTCCTGCCGCCCGCACGGCCGGCCGAGGCAGGGAGCTGAGCAAGCAAGGAAGCCAAGGCAGCGGAGGGCGGGGCTCCCTGTGCTCAGATGCGCTGGGTGCAGCTGGGACTCGGTGGCCGCAGTGATTCTGGAGCTGCCTCCTGCAAGCCGGCGTTGGGGGGGCAGCACCCAGAGCTTAACCCCTGGTCAGTCCCTGTCGCTTAGCAATGCCCGTCAGTCCGCCACAGCCGGCCCTCCTGATGCTGTGACACTCGTGGGCCTCCTTAACGCCCTGCGCCCTTCACAGGGACTGAGACACAATCCCCGACACCTTCGGCCTAAGGGAAGAGAAGTTTGTTTTGGCTCACAGTCTGGACATTTCCGTCCGCGTTCAGGCTTAAACACAAAAAAGGCGCGGAAGGAGGGCCTGGACAAAGGAAGGGTGCTCACAGTGTGGCAACCAGGACAAGCAAGACCAGGCGGGGCGGGGAGACACAGCCTTCCGGGTCAGCCCCGTGGCCCGCCCGCAGCCAGAGCCCACCTCCTAACGCCACACTGAGCTGTAGCACCCTGAGATCCAGTCACCCTTGAAAAGTCCCCCCAAAGCCCAAGGGGTGCTGGGCATACCCGGATGTAAACCACAACCGGGACAGGGCGGGCAGCAGGTGCTCTGATCTGGTCATTTTACAGACAGGAAAACTGAGTCACGAGACAAGAGCCATTCCTTCGGCCCCAGTCAGTGAGCCGGTGACACAGGTGTCTGGCCACCTCGTCTGCTCCTGTCCCCTCTCCTGGGGCCCGGAGAAAGGTTTGGAGTCTATATTTTCAGGAGCTTACGTCTCCATGCGAGAGAAGCATCTCTCTTTAGTATAACCGCCCCCCCCAGGCCCCTGTTGTCTTTGTCCCTACTTGGCTCTGACTTCCAAAAGACTCCGTCCCGTTTCCTTAATCACATGCGCAGTCATTTTCCAGTTCCAGCTCCTGACCAGCTGGGGCGACCCCTACTACATCGGCCTCACAGGGCTGGAGCTGTACGATGAGCACGGAGAGAAGATCCCCCTGTCGGAGAACAGTATCCTTTCCGGGCCAGGGTGGGGTGCGGGAGGCGGAGGGGGCGCCTAGGACACGCACCGGAAGTGGCCCTGTAGGAATCTGAGCCCAGGATGAAAAATGCTGCCGGGCTTTGCCTACGGGGCCTTCCCGAGAGAAAAATGGGCACGCCCAGGCCACCTGCCACCATGTCCGGCTGTCCTGATGGGTATTTCTGGTCGTCACCAGCAGTTGCTTGGATGTGTGTATCAGAACTTAATCAACAGGGTCTCACAGCCTGTTCCCTGGCGTTCACATTTTTATGAGACAGGGTCTCACCCTATTGTCCAGGATAGCCTTGAACTCACTATGTAGCCCAGGCTAGCCTCAAACTTGCCATGATCCTCCTGCCTCAGCCTCCCAAGTGCTGGGATTACAAGCGTGCGCCACCACGCCTGGCCACATACCCATTCTGGATGTAAAAATGTTTATGCCCATTTCATGGATGAGGAAAGAGGCCTAGCCATGTGCCCTGACTTTCCCAAGCTTCCCTGAGTCACAGCAGCCAGGCCAGAGCTGGAACCAGGTTCTGCAGGTCTCAGTGGCACCCCTCCTGAGTAGGACAGGCTGCCCCCTCCCTCTACAGCCAGGGAGACCTGTCATGGCCTGAGTACAACACCAAGGTGGAGCCCAGCCACCTCCACGTCCCGGTGGAGAGGCCGCGTCTCGGCCCTCACCCCCACCCGGGTCCTGCCGCAGCTCCGAGAGCTCCTCTGAGCCACCCTCACCCCCTCTCCTGCACTGCGCCCAATGCCGCAGCCCCCACACTCCCCAAGCCCTCGCCGCTTCTCATTTCCCCGCGGCGTGTCTGGTTTAGCCCCCGCCTCCCTGGCTGCCCAGAGCTGCAGCCGCCAGCCCTGCGTCCCGGGCCCGCACGCGGCGTTGGGTTGTGGCTGCTTAGCCGCCTTTGCAGATATCGCGGCCTTCCCCGACAGCGTGAACGCGCTGGACGGCGTGAGCGGGGACGTGCGCACCCCCGACAAGCTCATCGACCGGGTGAACGACACCAGCGATGGCAGGCACATGTGGCTGGCACCCATCCTGCCGGGCCTGGTGGGTAGCCGCGGCCCGCCCGGCTCCTGGCCCGGGGCGGGTGGGGGACATGGAGGCCCTGCGTCAGTGGCCCACCTTGCTGCTCTTCGGGGACAGGTCAGGCTGCTGTGCTGGCACGCCCGAGGGGTCAGCTCCCGGAACCGCATTTCTTTCTTTTTGCTTGGGGAGGAGCTTCTAAAAGGGGGCGCCAGGAGGACCAAGGGACACATTGGACCCTGAAGCCAGGATCCCCGGGGCAGCAGGCTTGAGGGCACGGGCACCCGCCGCTCCCTGCCGTCCTCGCCCCTCGGCTCCTTTCTGTCGCTCCCTCCTCTGTCCGCCTGGTCCCGCCTCTGTTCTGCCCCTGGCTTCCTTCCCGCCCCCTGACCGCAGCTCCCTGCGCTCTGTCTGACCCCAGTCTGCCTGTCAGCTCTTCCGACTGCTGACCCGTTCCCCGCCATCACAGCCCACAGCGGTCCTGCTTGTCCTTTGCCCCGAGGCCTCGTGGTGAGCCTGGAGCCGGGCTTCACCCCCAGGCTGGGGATGGAGCGTGCTGGAGAGGGAGGCGCGAGCCCAGGCTGGGGCCGGGTTGGTTGGCGCCCCGGCCGTCGTGTGGGGCCGGGTACCTGTGCCCGGGTGCACGCAGGGACACTGGCCTGCCCTCTCCCACTCGAATGACAGGGAGCTGGCCGGGCATGCTCCTCTCCAAACACAGCAGAGGGGCAGCGGCAGCAGTTCATGACCGATGTGGGGCCTGCGGAGTGTCCCGCAGCTCCCCCGAGCTGGGGCAGCCCCTTTGCCCCAGCCCTGCCTGCAGCGGGGAAGCACGTAGCCCCGTGGGCCTCAGCCTGGCTGTGAGCCCGTGGCCCAGGTGCCGCCCCCAGCTTTCCGGGGAAGGCCTGAGGCGCTGCGCCCACCCTCGCCCCACTGTCCCAGCCAGACTCCCCCATGTGTGTCTGCCTGAGCCCCAGGAAGAGGAGGAGCCCGTCCTGACCCGCACTGCCTCCCTGCCACAGCCAGAGGCTGAGGTCCCCACAGCCCACCCCTCCGCAGTGCTCGCTTCTTTATTTGGTCTTGCAGGGGCGGGAGCGGGGAGCCTGTTTGGGCCTCCTCTGCGGCTGGGTCTGCTCTGAGGGCCGGCCCCTCTGCTCCCCAGCAGAGGTTCAAAGCCACACGCTGGAAATCAGCCTTGAGGCGCCTGTCTGCTTTGCTCTTCATTTGCGCTTCCAGGAAAGGACAAGCAGGGGTCGGGCCGTGCGGACAGCCAAGGGCAGTGCTCCTCGCTCTGGAGCCGAGCACCGGCCCTTCGGCCCCGGAGCATCGCGCTATTCTGGGCCTGACCCCACGTGAGGGGAAGGTTGAGGAATATTCCCGTTCTCATCGGTATTTAAATGAGGGCCACCGCGGCCCTAGAAAGCAGGCCCTCCAAGAGCCAGCTCAGCGATTTGTGGCAAACGCAGCCACACGTGACCTGACTGGAGATGGGCTGGCGCGAGGGGAGGCTGCGGGACTCGGGCCGCTGCGGGAGCAGTGCTGCCTCGGCCCCTCCGGCTCGGCCCCGCCCACGCCCAGCACCCCAGCCCGGCCAAGCGCCTCTGTTTGCAAACCTGCCCGTTTTAATTAGCGCTGCTCTCCATCAGGTGAATCGGGTCTATGTGATTTTCGATCTGCCCACGACCGTGTCAATGATCAAACTGTGGAATTACGCGAAAACGCCCCATCGAGGGGTGAAGGAGTTTGGCGTAAGTACTTATGAGCTGGGTTTTGGAAATAATTAGGCTCGCTGGTAATTAGGCCGCTGGCAATTATCATTTGTCGCAGTTTGATTTACTTCTCTCTGTTGCAACCTTAGACACAAACGCCTCATGCTCAGAGGCAGGCAGAGCTTCCACCCAGCTGTGAACCCAAAACCACCCCGCAGCCATCTGACTCCTTGTTGCTCTGAGAAAACAGGAGGTGGCTGTGGAGTCACACTGGTTTGGGGCAGTCTGGGACAGGACAGCAGGCACCCTGGGGCCTGAGACTCAGTTTGCTTCCCAGCTCTGCCACTTGGACTCATGTAGTGAATGATGCTAAGACCTTTGAACCTCAGCTTCCACATCTGCAGCCTGGGCGCACAGCACATGCCCTTGCTGAGGGCCACGGTGCAGGCCAGGCACATAGTGGCATTGCCAGCTCTGTGCCAGGGGAGAAAGCCTTGGCCCGAGCACAAAGCACCCAGAGCTTCTCCTAGGGTCCCATGGGGTGCGGGGGAGGGGTTCCCTCATCACCTCCTCCATGTCTGCCCAGCTTCTGGTGGACGACTTGCTCGTGTACAATGGGATCCTAGCCATGGTGACACACCTGGCAGGGGGCATCCTGCCCACATGCGAGCCCACAGTGCCCTACCATACCATCCTCTTCACCGAGGACACGGACATTTGTCATCAGGAGAAACATACGGCCATCAGGTACGTTCCCGGCCCGCCCCACGCCTCCCCACCAGCGCTAACGAGGATGGATGGCGGGGACCTTGGCCCTGAGCTGGATCGAATCTCCTGCCCTCCCACCCCGCAGTAAGCAGGTAGAGGACCAGGATGTCCAGATGATGAATGAAAACCAGATCATCACCAACTCGAAGAGGAAACCGAGTGCCGCAGATCCAGGTGGGCGCCCGTCCCTGCCCAGCAGCACCCCACCCCACTCTGCCCCGCCTGTGTGCGTCCTTCCCCCACCCGGGCACCTGCTGAGGCCGGGGTGGGGCACAGCTGAGCTGCTTCCCTCAAGCCCAGCGCCGTGGGTGCTGGGGAGAGGCCCGGAGCAGCTGAGGGCAGAGGTGCTGTGTCTGAGGGGACTGCCCCACCCCGTAGGAAACTGCGCCGAGGAGAGGGCTTCCCGGGGGAGGTGGCATTTGGATCCTAAAGGCTGCTAGGTGTGTGCCAGGCAGTGCGGGCAGACCCGCGGGGTCACATGTCGGAGTCTACCGCCGGCCTGGGGAAGGGCCAGCACGCCAGGTGCCCTGTGCTCGGGGATGTGGGGGCTGCAGGTGGTGACCCCAGGGCCCACATCGCAGCCCAGGTGGTGGGGTTTCCCCTGCAGACCTGGGGGTGGCTAATCCCGCTGCCTCTGTCCTCTGCCTTGACAGCCTTGCGCCCCAAAACCTGCATAAGTGAGAAGGAGGCGTCCAGGCGATGGCGGTGCTGATGGCGGAGGAGAGCTGGTCCCCCAGCGGGTGGCTAAGACAGGAGTGCAAGAGAATCGCAGAGTGGAGGGACCAGGGGACTTGAGAGACCGGGGGACAACAGCCCTGGCTCCCACAGGGTCAGACGGGAGGGGACAGGGCTGCGTTGCAGGGTGGGGTGAGGCAGTGCCCGTCCTCAGAGCCCTCAGGGGAGCTGGCCCCTAGGGCGTCTGTCCTCTTGCCAAGCCTGGGACAGGATCAGCCAGCGCTGTGTCCTGCGGGAGGGAGGGAAGGGAGAGACACAGGCCCAGGAGGGGGAGGACGACCGCCCCCGTCACCCGGAACTTGGTCGGAGCAAGGCCACGCCCCCGTCTGGTCGGGCTTTCTCGCTGTCCCTCTGGGAGGGCCACCTCGCCCCCTCCCCAGCCGCTTCCCAGTGAATTGGAAATGTGCCTTGCACCCCCGGCCGAGCGGCCCCGAGCACATCTATTTCCATCTCTGTAACAAGCTCAGATCAGGGACCTAATTGGTTTCCCAGTGGTGGGTAATTTCTCGTTCCAAATATTAATCCGTTGTTTTCCTGGCGCCTGGCCCGGCCGGCGCAGTACTGTACTCCGAGCGCGTTCCTATGCAACCAGTGCCCAGCACATACTTTACGAGCTCTGCAGCTGGGCTGAGCCGCTATGCAAATGTGCTTTTCATTTGGAGCGCCGGGCTGATGTGAGGATAAGAATTGCTTCTCGCGGAGAAGATCCATCATCTCTGTAGCTTCCAGGCCCCCACCCCAGCTCCTCCACTCTCTCTGTACCCACGTGTGCCAGGCACCCCGGGCCTCTGGGCTCCCGGGAGAGCCGCCGCCTGGGGGAGTTGGGCTGATCAAACTCGTTCTTAGGACCAGAACTAGTGCCCTGGCTTCAAAGGGAGCCCCAGCCAGCCGTCCATCCTGCCTGAGGCCAGGGTAGCAGATTTGTCCGGCAGCCCCGGCAAACACTGCACACGCTGCCCCCAGAACGCCGGTTGACGTTTATAATAATTGTACGTACCATGCAATTTAGGAGGGAAGAAAGAAGCTGTACAGGCATTAACTCTAAAATAAATTTCTATTTTTTTTCTTCTTGCAAAATCAATAAAAGATGTTATTGAGAATAGAATCTGGTGCGCTGGATTTGGGGTCAGGCAGAGCTAGTCCATTTGAGACCAGCTGAGCAGTGGAGGCTCTGAGCTCCCTCCTCTGCCTGCAAATGGGGTCATGACCCCAGCCCAGCCCACTCAGTAGAATCCCACTGTCCATAATTGGAGCCCATACGTGCACCTGAGTACACATGAAAACCCTAGGGATAGGTCCTGTTACTACCCTCATGTTACACATGAGAGCCGAAGCACAGAGAGGTTGTGTAACTCTCCCAGGATACACAGCTTTGGCAGGTATTAGTGTGCAGATGGTAGGACAACCACCAGGTAGCGGGGGCAGGGGAGGGGTGTGGGGGGTGACGATCCTAGGTCTCTTTGCCCCTGGGGTTTCCCTCCCGTATGTGTGGGTGCTGGAGCACCACCCGCAAGAGGCCTGATTCCACCCTCCTCCTCCCTCTTGCGCCCCTCACCCCTGCTCCCTTCAGGGTAGTGTGGGTGGCCCTTGGCTTCTGGATAAGGCGGCCCCGGAGCCAGGAAGTGGTGCAGCTGGGCAGTGGGATTTTTGACTGCAGGTAGCAGATCGGAGGGCTCTTCACCCACCGCACACTCTGGCGAGAGCCCCTTCTGTCCCGGGAAGCCCTGCCCCCGCCTCAAAGCCTTCTGAGTGCCTGAGAGACCACGGGTTCCTCCTGTGTCCCGCGGGCCCTGGAGCTGGAAGCGCCCCGGGAGCCCTGGAGACGGTCAGGCGGAGAGGCCTTTCGCTCTCCAGGCAAACAGCCAGGACCTCTGCACCTCAACCCTGGTGAGACCCTGCTGGGTCCCCACTACTCAGGGGCCAGGCCAGCAATATCAGGGAGCGAAGCTGGCCTGCTGAAAGCAGGGCACCGGGACGGCCAGAGCACCTGCCATCCCACAAAGCCACGTTTCCAGGGTTTTGGAGAAGCCAGGTGCCCGGGCTTTCTATTTTTAATGTAAAATGTAACTTGTCACTGTTGCCTCGGCTTAAGCCAACACACCCAAGTACACCCGTCTGCAGGGGTCTGGGGGGTCTCCTGTGGGGCAGCCTCCATCCCAGCTCTTCCCTTGGGGACACCACCCTGGCCCTCCCCTCCTACCACCACCCAGGGCTCCCACGCACCCGGGCTGCGTCCTTCTAGCCCTCTCCCAGGAGGAGAAGGGAAAGAGGAAGTGACCCTGCCCAGCACCCTCTGCAGAGAGACAGAACATCAGTGGGGTGACCTTGGGTCCTGGAGGAAGCAGTCTCCGTCTTCAGCTGCCGTGGCGAACAGCGGAGCTCCTCTCCCTCGCTTCCTGCAGCTGCCCGTGTGCGCCCCCCACCCCAACGCGGGACCCCAGGCCGCAGTGTTGGACCTGTGGGTTCAGCATGGCTGACAGAAGCTCGGGAAGAGCAGGCCCTGCAGTCTCCTGGCCCCACTTGGTAGGGTGGGGTCCACAGCCGGGAGGCTAAGCCTATGCGGCCTATTCGCCTATTCCCCTATTCCCCGAGACCGTGTTTAAATTTTTAAAGTTCGCTGCCTTCCTGCCCCAGCAGGGTTCACGCTGGAATTCAGAGCATAGCCCTGGACAGGGACAGAGGCGGGGAAAGGGTGCAGAGGAGCAGGACAGGGAGGGGACAGTGCTTCAGGCCCCTGGCAGTCAGGGCCCAGCCAGCCGGGCACCCAGAGCGCTGTCCCGGGCCCTAGGACTCGGCCTCAGGTGTCCGGCCAGCTGACTGGGCCAAGCTGGGCCGGGGATGGCAGGCAGCCCTGGGCTCTGTCCAGTATGCTGTGTGTCCCCAGGGGCCCGAGGTTGCCCCTCACCCCGCCCATGGTGCAGGTGAGTCGGGGGTCTGCGAGCACCATTGCTGTTCATGACACCATTTCCAATCTGCCCGCCTCTCCAGGAAACCGCCTGCTCACTGCCTTGTAGTCAGTCTTACTTCGTGACAGTGACAACTCAGACACTAACAGCCAACACACAGGCACCCCTGAGCCCTGTAGACGCCCACTGGCCCATCAGGAAGGCACCTGTGGATGACATTGAGGTCTTTGGTGCCACTCTTCTCCCCAGCGTGGGGGTAAGGTGTGCAATGGTCCTGTGGCCAGCATGCCTGGGTACAACTTCCAGGCTGTGTGACCTTGGTTTGTGCTTTGGCCCTGGCCTAGACGTCTTGTCTGCTCGGTGGACTGTGACGGGCACCCGTGCACCCCGGCCCTCCGACTGCAGCTCTCTGGGGTTGGGTGGAGAAGGACAGACACTCCGTGTTGCCCTCATTGCACTGACTTGGGCCTAGCTGTGAAGAACCTGGCTCTTCCCAGCACAAGGTAGCTCTCCCTCCTGCTTCAGTGGGAAAGGAAACTTCTAGAAACTTCCAGACACAGGCAATTGGCCAGTGAGGGGCACAGGTCTTAGAGCCATCTTCCTGTTAGCTAAGTACAGACCACCCTCCTCCGAGTCTCCTCCTGCTGCTCACTGACCTAGACCTACT